GCGGATCATCGGGTCGCCGCAAAGTGCGCGCGTACGAATCAATTTAATCTGGGAAATTTCCAGGTGGTCCTTTCGAGAGAAAACGAGCGAGAGGAAAAAAGAAAGTGGAGACTCATTCTGCGACGATTAGCGACGTCGGTCCGCGAACCGCGGTTTTCTCAATCTTCCACAACGTCCGCCTCCAAAGTCCGCTGCCCCCAAAAGAGGGTGCTGTCCACCCCTGTTGTTGTCCACGACTGTAAATATTTTCGACTTAATAGCCATTTGATTTTTATTAATGGAGATGGTTGCGCGCAGTCCGCGGTATTCTCCGACGTCGTTTCCATCCGCGATCGCGGTAGCCGCGAGCGAAGGGAGAAAGAGCGATATCCGTGACAGTCAATCGATTAATCATCGTTCCGCTGCTGACGCGGGTACAATACCGCCGTTGTCGTGTAAGAAGACGAAATTGGGATGCCCCGCTTGCACCTATCGCGACGCTTGTTGTAAGGCGTCCCGACGAGAGCAGTGGAGTTGTTCGGTCTTTTATTACACGCGAGTAATATTACGCTGCATTACGATGTCGTTCAATTACTTGATATCTACTTTTTGAATCTGATTTATTTTATTATTTATATTAGTCAATATTTTAATATTTAATAATTATTGTAAAGAGAGAAAAAGAGAATCTGCCATATGGCGAGGATAATAAAATGATAAAAACGAATTTCGCATTATTGCAATGATGTTTGTACTCGCTTATGATTCATGTTAATGCTGCAAATTCCAATTATCATATGTGATTAATATTTAATCACTATTTAATGCGAATACACGATATACGTATTATAAAATATTACACGATTCTCCCCTTATAAATGAAATTATTGGATTTCGAACCAAATCGCGTTATTGATCGTTTTCTTTTCAGAGCACGAGTAATATAATTCCTGACAATTTAAAGATGTATAGTCTCTGCAAAAAGTGACTAGTATTGGAAATTTGTATTTTCCGTATAAAAATAAATGTTATATACATATGTTATACAGTATACATATATATATATATGTGTACACATGTTATACATATGTTATACACATTATAAACAGTTCAATAAAAGGTCAATATTTATATTTAATAATACAATGTTATAGTTTAAATGAAAATTTTCTCATTTTATCTCTTAATTATTTTTTAAAAAACATGTCTACACCGAGAAAAAACGTATTAAATTTTAATAAATATTTGTTTGAATAATACTAATAACATTTACTTCCGGTAAATAAATATTTACTAAATAAAAAAATAATATTTAAATCAAATTAATGGTTCTTGTACCAAATAAATATTTAGTAAATATTCAATTAAAGTATCACATTCAAATATATATTTATTAAAATTGAGAATCTATACTTTTCTCGATATTTTCAATAGTCTTGATCCAGATTCTAAATCGTTGTTAAATTTTTTATATTACTTTCAAATACAATATAAAAAAATTAGTTATTTTTCATTTTGTTAAAAAAAAAACGTCCCAGATAACACAAACACTTTCAATAAATATTCTATAAACATTCGTTGAGAATATTAAAATATTCATGAGATGATCGCTGTGTTGTACTGAGTCGCTAATTGTTGGAAGACACACAATATTTATCATTTTTATTAGTATATTCTTTTATTTTGTTTTTCTTATTAATTTTCATCTGAACTTACCTTTGGTTTAATTGCGTAAACTCACACGACGTGTTCTTTTCAGTGGCACATATTGGCAGTGTTGTGTTATTATTTTGATGATGCGAATGAGCGCGAATGCCGCAAGGCGCGAATGGCCACGAACGGACACGATCACATGGAGCACAAAAAGATCGAGATTGAATGATTCATCGATATTAAACGCCATCTACATCTTCAGTATACTTAAATATTCTATGAACATTTAGAGAACATTTAATCAACATGATCTTATTACTAATTTTAACATATTCTAGGCAGATTTACAGATTGTTTCTTATAAATAAGAATATTCTGTGAATACGTATAGATGATTCTTTTGAGAATATTCTTGTAAAGATATATTTGAAGCTTCATAGAATATTCATATAATTGTGTGTTATCTGGGGTGTAACACGTGTTCTTTGAACTTAAAAGGAATTTTTAATTTTTGCTCTCTTGCTTGCGGTTAATCGACCATGCGGGATTTATAGTTAGCAAAATACACTTAGCAAAATACACTCTCGTAAAATCAACGCGAAAGTAAATTCGCACGCGCGGATACGCTGTACCGCGGATTCGCCGCCATTTCCGGTATCTGCATCGCCGCCAAAGAAAAACGGTCGTTATCGGGAGAGCCGGCCACTCCAATCAATGCAAATCAAATCGAGAGCCGTAGCGCGTAGTCAAATCAACCGGATGAAAGCTTCATGAATGTAAAGGACCTCTTTTCCCTTCCCCCTGAATGTGAACGTGAGCCAGCCAATCTGGTAATGCGTCTTTGCCTCCGCGTCCCGGTGTGCGCCTCTCGTTTGGCGAGCAAAAAAAAATAGGGGGAAAGAAAATATCGGCACGTCGCGTCACGCGAAACGTCAGGTAGTCCAGCGGTGTAATAGACATCGCTTGAATATTACACGACCTAACGTGAAATGATGTGACAATACAGGATCATACAGAGGGTGAATCGTACAACTCGTCCACCTTGAATATTTCTGCTGTCAGTGAAACGATGGGAGTGTTTTTATTATTTAGAGTAATTTTAAAATAGGAACCTTTTCCAGGTGACATTTCTTTTACATCGAACAGTTTCATCGCAGTTATCATGCACAATTTTCAAGCTTATCAAATAAATAATACAGCTTTAGCTGTAAGTATAAAGCGCCTTATAAAGTATAAAGTCTTCAATTTATTGCATTTTCTTAGAAAAGGCAGTAATAAGAGCCAAAGGAGGATTTAATAAAATATATTAAAATTGTTATAAAAATAAATATTTTTCAACACAACTTTTTTTATATAAAGTTTACATCTGTGGGGGCGCTTTATACTTATGTCCAAGGCTATAGTTTTTTATTTTTAACTTGTATTAGATTATTCTTTATTTCTGTCTTTCTTCCTTTTCCTTATTATCTGAGTAGTAAATAAAACAATTAAATGTTTGATAAAAGTAAGAGTTGATATTAATCTGAAGTAACTATTATTAAAGACAATGGTCGAACGGATCTTCTGTTTTATCCAAGCCGAGAACTTGGCGCTCTTCCGGGATTATTCTATGCAGCTCCGCGTCATCGCGGGTAGATTTCCCGCAGGAATACCTCGACTCGTAATAACCTTTCCAACACACAAAGCAGTGCAGTCAATAGTGTCGTAGAACGGATTGGACGAATTTTCGAGTGCAGTGAATACAAATTCGCGAATGAAGTTTACTTGGTCAAAGAAAAAAATGTGCATGGGATGGAAATACTGTATCAGTGATTTCGACTAATTTACCAAGATAAACAGAGTGGAAATATTTGCAACTTTACTGATGGATATCGCGTGATTGGATCTTTTTACGGTGTACGATACAGGACTATACCTATCTCTTCTCGGTACCGCAAGCTTTCCTTTTTGAACCCATTGAAAACGCTAGCGCCCTCACTACAGTAATTTCGAAAGATATTTCGTGTGCCTAAGACAAATACATTAATTATTTTGCGAGCATGATATTCTACACCGCTGTTTAGATTTCGATTTGTCTAAATTCGAGTTTAAAATTATAGGCTTCTTTCAGAATAAATTTTGGTTGATGATCGCAATCATCTTACCATTAACAGATTTATGAAGGCAAAAACGCAACGTGGAAGTGATCATGTTTACTGCGATCCAACGTCGAACATTCC